TTGCAAGGCAGTCCAAGCTGATGCAGGCTCTGGCATGACAGACTGTACTTGCAATCTGTGTATGCAGCGCTAGATGAGGCAGCGGAGTCTTTGCTGAGTCCGGCGGCTCGGTTGGCCTGGAAAATTTCCTCCATCTTCTTGGCCATTCTTTTACGAACACGATCGCTGGGCTTGGTAGTCCCGGTCGAGCCGGAACCTCGGCCCTTGGCTGAAGATGAGGAGGGCAGAGTTGGCTTGTCCTCCTGATCATCCTGATCATCTGCGACATCAAACCAGATCGATCTTCTCGGCTTTGGCCTCGTCTGCATTTTCCGTGGCTTCTGAGAGGCAGGGGCAGTAGCAGTTGTAGCCCGTTGTCGGCTTTTGCGAGGCAAGTCGGACTCAGGCCGTGCTGGAGGTGCTTCCGGACATTGTAGCCGCAGGCTCCTCGGTCGCTGCAGCTGTCATGGTAGTCGAGGGCTGTGAACTCCGTGTTTCTGGGACCTCCAAGCTATTTGCTGTAGCTGACTTCAGCACCAAATTGCCCGATTGTATGGTGAGCTTCGCCTGGGCTGGGGTTCTGTCCTTCTCCAGCCCAGACGGGATATGTGATAATCGGCCACGAGTTTTGGGCTTCGGCTTGAGGCGGCCTTGGTTGTCGATCTCTGGCTCTGCACTCAGGGTGGGCCGGAGATGAGAACTGGAAGAAGTATTTTGTGCCTCCTCCTGCAGAGCTGGTGCCTGCATCAAGGCACTGCTGCGTCGCTGTGACTGAGTCAGGCGTGGGTTGGCCTCCCGTTCGGGGGACCATTTGGCCTGGACAAGGGTCCCATCAGGCAGCATGCTCGCGGATCGCACCGATAGCCAGAGGGCAGCCAGCTCCACCGATGCTGCACTTTGTATGACTTGATCGGTTCGCTTGCCATGCTTCGTGCTCCCCGAGGGAGCATACACCACCTCCCACTTGGCTGCCCAGTAGAGGCCATCTCCACACAGCGGTATCCACCGCATGTAGTTGGCCACCTTGTTTTGTAGACTATCCTTATGCAGATATACTCCAGGACAGCCGGCCAGGAATCGGTCGCCTTTCGACTCATCGGTGCTCGGGAAGAGTTCTCCATGGTATATGATGGAGTAGAGCGCCTCCATCTTGCAGCCGTGCCAGCCACGCTGCCAGCCATTCTGGCATAGCGATTCGCGGTGGGAGTCTGCCAGCGGGATCCACGGGATACGCCACCAGCCATCGGGGTGCGGGGTCGGGTCCCCAAGCAGGGGTCCAAGTGACACTCCGTCAGGTCCTTGCCGTGTTTCAAAGAAGCTCTTGAGAAAGCAAGTCACATCTGAAGTGCAGGCTTTGGCTTTGGCTCCCCAGACCAGCACTCGGTCTGGCGAGTCAGGCCCGGCATTATCGGCCAGATTCCACTCGGAAGGACCTCCATGAGATCCAGGATCGAAGTCCGGGGCTGGTTTCCTCGCCGTGTTTGGCGTCTCCTCGGCAGCTGCTGAGTCCTCCGAAGTAGACTGCCTGACGGTGGCCACTCCTCTTTGTCGTTGATGCTCTGCAGGTCGTCTGGCAGGTGGAGGACTGGGAGTACGAGGCGGAGGGATCCTTCTTCTCGGAGATCTAGACCGTGCCTTGGTAGGGCTGGCCATAGTGCGGCCCGGTGGAGGGCTAGGAGTTCTTGGTGGACGGATCTCCCTGCGGTCATTGCCAGTGTCATCTCGACTGAGTTCAGGTGCTGGCCTCGGTCTTCTCCAGGTGACCTCCTTGGTATCGGGGTTGTAGTAGTACGACCCACGGCCCTCAGGATCCTCATGTCGTTCCCAAGGCAACTGCAAGGTGAGGTCCTTTGTGGGTGGCCGTATGTATCGGCCATTTGAACCCTTCTTTGGTGCCCCTGGGGGCACCATCGTCCTCAGGTCCTGGTAGCCGAGGAGATATCTGGCACTGAAGATGGTAAGAGGAGGCGGTGTCAGTCGCCATCTTAGTGACGGCTCGCAGCCGTCGTCGAGTGCAGCTCGCGTCGGTCTGCATGGACTAAGGTTGTTCACTGACAGTGTGTAAGTTCTCTGTCTCTCTTCCCGCGTGCCTTGCTGCAGTCGAACACTCCTTGCATGTGGATCCCCATCGCGCCCCGGTATGATACAGACTCTTCGTTGGAGCAAGTGAGCTCGAGTACCTCCAACGATAATCGCCTCGGTTCCAGGGTCCAAGGGTTGTATCGTCGGCTCCGAGGAAGCACAGTCACTCGATCGTGCCATGGGCAGCCAGGCAGGTAGTGCCCCAGTATAGGCAGTCCAGTGGGACCTGGAGGGGTCCTTCAGTGCAACGGCCGGGGCATGACCCTCAGAGCAAAAAGGCTGCACTGCATAGCTCAACTTGCTTGGAAGTTGGCATTCAGAGGCAGAGGGTGCATGTGGGTCGAACGGTACCGCACTAGCATAACGTCTATCCGGTGAGGTCCCTGTAGCCGTCGAAGCTGAGGCATGGGCGGAGGGGTCTTGGTTTGACCACAGCTGGATGTTGCCTTGTCGTTGTTCGGTCCTGCAGGTACAAAGGAGCCAGGGACAGTAGTGCAGGCAGGCGCTGTCTCCTCGTAGAAAAGAGAGAGGCACGACCATGGGAAGGACCTGGGAGGGCAGAGCCGAGGTCTCAAAACAGCTGCTGGTGTGGTATTGCAGCATAGCAAGCCTCGACACACCTGCAATGCTTTTTGGGTCTGCCAGGGAAGAGCTGCTGACTGTGCTGGCCGGAAAGGCATGCCATGGCCCATCAGGGGCGTAAGCAAGTCTCCCAGGAAGCTGCCACATCTCGCCAGTTGTCTTCATGGAGCTGGAGGCGAACCACGGCTTCACGGTACATCGCTCAAGGAGGGCCCATTGGTAGAGCAGGGGAAACTGGTAGCGGTGAAGGTAGTCCCGCAGAGGCCATAGCTGCAAAGGCCTGCACCGGCGTCGTGGGAAGCGACGTGGGAGCCATCGGTGGCGTTGGCATCGGGGAAGGCATTCCATCTTGGTCCGTTGCAGCCACGAGTGCCGACATTGGTATCGAGGGGGTCGACGTTGGAGCTGTTGAGCTCTCCATGGAAGCCATGGTAGTTGCAGGTAGTGGCGGCGGAGGTCCTGCTGGTCGGGTGGTGCTTGCCATGGTAGCCGGTGATGGCCTAGGAGGGCCTGCAGGGCCTGCTGCCTTGGTCGAGACCATGCCAACACTTCCAGGGGGTCGCTTTGGTGGCCCATTGACAGGCTGTGGAGGTGGAGGTCCTTTCGGCGGACCGGCCATGACACCCAGTGGAGGAACAGCCTCAGTGTCCGTAGAGGGGCTAGGAGGACTGTCCGACGATGAGGTGGGCTCCACGTCGGCCCCTGTTTTCGCCTTGGCTTTCGGCCTTCCCGACCGTGATCCCGCCCCTCTGAGGAGTGCCCACGTCGATTTCCCTTGGGCGGCATAATGCAGATGGATGTCTAGGCCTTCCCGGGGTTTGAGCACTAAAGTCGGCAGTCGGAGCTGGACATTCGTGAACACGGCTCGCTGCAGCAGTAAGTGCATGACACTGGCTCGCAACGACAGTCTGAGTCACTGGCCAATGATCCCGAGGGGACACTAGGTGCAAAAGGCTAGCTGAGCCCTGGAGCCATGGTGGGGCCGTGGCAAGGGAGAAGTCCACTTGCTCACTGGGAAGTGCGAGCAGGGACACAAGGAATGCAGCCATCATGCAGCCTACAGCCATGTTTGGTTGGTGGCCCAGAATACCGTCTAGAGCACCCGTGACGCTTAGTAAAGCGGAGGCCCAAAGTTTTCCACAAAAACGCAACAGTTCTGACCATGCTGGAGCCAGGGCTTAGTAGTAGTAGTAGTAGTAGTAGTAGTAGTAGCAGCAGTAGTAGTAGTAGTCGTCGTAGTAGTAGTAGTAGTTGTAGTAGTAGTAGTAGTAGCAGTAGTAGTAGTAGTAGTAGTAATAGTAGTAGTAGTAGTTGTTGTTGTTGTAGTAGTAGTAGTGGTAGTAGTAGTAGTAGTAGTGGTAGTAGTAGAAGTAGTAGTAGTCGTAGTAGTAGTAGTAGCAGTAGTAGTAGTAGTAGCAATAGTAGTAGTAGTAGTAGTAGTAGTAGTAGTAGTAGCAATAGTAGTAGTAGTAGTAGTAGTAGTAGTAGTAGGTAGTAGTAGTAGTAGTAGTAGTCGTAGTCGTAGTCGTAGCAGCAGCAGCAGCAGAAGTAGCAGCAAGAGAAAGTAGTAGTAGCTCGTGCTAGCAATTCGTAGCTTCGTCACTGATAAAAACTTGCTCTGTCTGTGTCCTAGATCTCGTTGCTTCGAGTTTCTTTTCTCACACACTTCAGAGAGCTCGGCGCACAGGAACCCGACGGGGCATGCCAAACCTGCCTGTAAAAGTACCATCACGAGAAACGAAAAACAATTCAGAATTCGCAATAACAGTGGTAACGAACACGGCAACAAAACAATCAGGAACAAGTACAAATAGTAACAATCATAGTAATGGTAATAGTATTAGTAATAGTAATAGCAATAGCAATAGTAATAGTAATAATAATAGTAACAGTAACAGTAACAGTAACAGTAGCAGTAACAGTAACAATGACAGTGACAGTAACAGTAACAGTAACAGTAACAGTAACAGTAACAGTAACAGTAACAGTGACAGTGACAGTGACAGTGACAGTCACAGTCACAGTCACAGTCACAGTCACAGTCACAGTCACAGTAACAGTAACAGTAACAGTAACAGTAACAGTAATAGTAATAGTAATAGTAATAGTAATAGTAATAGTAATAGTAATAGTAATAGTAATAGTAATAGTAATAGTAATAGTAATAGTAATAGTAATAGTAATAGTAATAGTAATAGTAATAGTAATAGTAATAGCAATAGGTAATAGGTAATAGGTAATAGGTAATAGGTAATAGGTAATAGGTAATAGGTAATAGTAATAGTAATAATACTAATACTAATATACTCGACGTGTCGGGCGAACTGTTGAAGTGACTGGGCCCTCGGTGGTCCTGCCTGACCGGGTCGGGATCGCACCGCCCTGGCCATCGCGAATGCCGCCTTCAGGTCCGCACTTAGGTCGAGCTTGATCAGCGTGCTGTTCGCCTGCATCGCCTGCAGCGCAACGCGCACGTAAACCCTAGGATGAGCGCCTCGACTTGGAGAGCAGGCGCCAACTGCCTCACTAGATCCTACAAGAAGCGCACATGCGATGAATTGAGCGGACTTCCACAGTTGCATGCCGCCTCCCACAGGGATTCAGCGCCGCCTTCCGTCATGATTTCATTGACGAGGCTCAGCCGCTGCAGTGCTGTGTTGTGTTGGAGTGCCTGTACCACGCAGGAGGCACTGCTAAAGAAACTGCCTGCAACCTGTTGCTACAGACAGAACACTGTAAACCCGTATTGTTGGACGGCCCTATGCAACTCGCTTAGTAGCAACTCCGCGTGTACTCAGGTGTGGGAAAATTGAGTAGGAATGTGCTTCTAAGAGTGTCTTGCACGTTGGCAGCCTCACTAAGGGTACACCCAAATTGGCGGTCTGCAGCTGTTCTGTGGGCTTGTACAGATTAGTGGGAGGTAGGGCAAGCAGCTTTTTGCACTGTTATGTCCAGTGGACTCTCCTCCTACCTGGCCTCAGGCCTGCTCCTACAGCGCCACCTCTGTACTGATAAAACTTATTGAAACAGCAGTTTTGTTCTATACTGTTCGGATGGGGTTTGAGAATGTTTACGAAAAGCTTCAGCTGTGCTTTGTGGAGGATGTGGAGCAGTTGTTCTGCTCTTTGTGTCGGACCTTGCTATGAGTGCTGTATCGTCCGGTATGCTAGGTCGTAGAAGTTGGTTCTGACTGTACAACCAGGGGAGAAACTCGCCGTTGGCCGTGAATTCCTTGTCCACGTCGTGCCTCACCATACCGTGAATTATGAGGAAAAGAGATGGTGACAGAGGACAACCTTGGCGTATGCCTGCTTGTGCTTCCTCGCTCGTGCTCTGCGTGCCTGCTGCTGCCACTGTGAATTGCGGGGAAGTGTAAATGTTTTTGAGGAGTGCTGTGAAGTGTGAGAGAACTCCAAAGCGCTCCAGTGCTGTGAGAAGTGAGGAGAGCATCTGGGTGAATCTTGTCGAATGCTTTCTCCCAGTCGAGCAAGATGGTGTAGAGTGACTCCCCCGTTGCTTCTGCGCGCTCTATGAGGCGGCAAATTGGCTGGGATATTGAGCGTGCTGCTCTGAACCCGTATACGGTTTCCCTGTGAACCTGCTTGCTTGCAGTCTCGTGCGTTGGATCTTAGGAAAGACTTTGTATGAGCAACGAACCACTGCGCGTCCATTACTGTACCTTCTTGCTCGCCGCATAGGTTGGGACTGTGGGGATGGAGATCGGTGCCAAAAACTTCTTGCCGTCTGTGCTGTCCATGGCCGTGGTGGTGAGGTCCCATCAGGGAGCCGATTTGGAGACCGTGAGCTCGGGGTCGGCAGCTGTTGCCCAGTCTAGTGTTCCCCTGGCAGCCTCGATCGGGGTAGGTCTTTCTCCGTCCATGCCGTCCTGACCTTCAGCATCCGGACGTCATGCTCGAGCGTGTTGATCTTCACGGCGTGGTTGACGAGCTCGGCCCCAACCTTTGAGAAATCTGCCTGGAGGGCAGGTCCAACCTTTTGCTGCAGAGCCTCGGTGATCATTCCAGCACACTCCTGCCTGGACACGGGCTGTGAGGAGTTCGCATCTCCCTGCGGGATGCGGATCTCCGAGTCCTGTGGGCCAGAAACTGGTGCAGCCGTGGACAACACCGACGGTCCATCCCCTGTGAGGAGGGAGCCGTGCTGTGAGATCCTCCGCTGCATCTCGGCGATCTTCTCCGCGGTCTCGGCGTTGGCGGCCGTCTGAGCCGCTCCTTGCACTCTCAAAGCCTCAAACCCAGCAGCCGCTGCTGTGAGCTGCGAGAAAGGTTCCAGCACCTTGGTTTGGTCTGCCATGGCGCCTGTGTGAGGTCTAAGGAGAGAGAAAAGGGGCAGCGAAAAGCTTGAGCACTCGTGAGCCGCAACCTTAAAACCTAAACTGCCATGCCTCCGCGAGATGGCTGACTCCCTCGTTGCCCGAGCCGACATTGTTCAGGGTCAGGTCGGTCAAAGAGCTGTTGTCCTGGAGAACCTGCATTGCCCGCAGCGCGGCTTTGAGAAGCGTCGTCCCAAAATGCTACAAGGATGCTGCTCTTCTTTGAATGCCGTTGTGGGTGATGCAGTTCACCCGACATCGCCGTTGTCCGTTTCTTGTGCATTCATGATTTCCCGGCCTGTGCCAAAGCCTTCACACCACCGACGCCGATATGCTCATGGTCAAGGCTCAGTACCGAAAGTGTCGCGTTGGTCTGCAAAGCCTGCATAGCCGTGGGTTTTGAAGCCGCTCTTCATGAAACCGTTATCATGAGCTTCCAATTGCTGATAACGCACGTTACAGCCGCTCGAAGCCACTTTAAAGCAGTGTGCATCAACAAGGTCAACATGACATAACTGTCATAACTGGCACTGGACCTCCGCGAGCTGGCATGCAGCCTCCTCGGAGAGGTTGTTGTGCTGCAGTTGGAGCTGCGGAAGCTTTTTCTCCTCCACCGCCTGCAAAGAATCGGTTGGATCGGCGCACGTCACAAACGTCTCGCAATCTGTCTGCCAGGGCCTTGAACAGCAGTGGGAGCTTTGGGGTGAGCTCGCACTGCGTGATCTCCAACCTCCTAACAGCACTTCGGGAGCAGAGAACGGGTCGTGAGGCTACTTTCGCTTCGTCAGAGCAGTGCTGCTGAGGCACTCCAGGATCGGGTAGAGCTCGAGAGAAGACAGGCCGATCTCGAGTGCTTCTGCTCCCAGATCTGCTAGCCTCAGGTTCCTGCACGTTTCTGCCTTCTCTTTGTACACTTCCTCCTGCAATCTGCAGACGGTTTCTTTGTCGTTTTTGTGAGTAAACTTGAGTTGGTGTGCGACGCTCTTTCGAAATGCGTCCGGCACCATTGGGGCGATTCCCCCTTTCTCTCCTTCCGAGGCATCTACTTCACGCGACAGGTTGGTGGCTGCCCGGGTGCTGGACCATTCCCTTTCGGCAATGCACCATCCACGCTGTGTGTATGGAGTGCGGTTCATGACCAATTCAGTCACCGGCACCTTTTCCACAAGGCCACTGGAATGATGATAAATCATCACACAGTCACCCTTCTTTTCGGCGTCTTCTATGTCCGCTTTCGGCGTCAGAGACTCGATTCGGAGGGTGCTCGTGGCGTCGTGGCAGTACAGCACATGCATGTGCTGCATCGCCCGCCTGAAGCTGTCATTCTCCTTCTGGAGGAGGCGCTGGAACTGGAAAAGACACGTGTAGTCGATAAAAAGCCACTCCTTTCCTGTAAGGGCCGTTGTGATTTTGGCGAGCTGATACCCGAGGGGATCACAATGCTCTTTGGATTCCCAGCAGTGGGACAGTGAGACTATCTTGGTGCCTTCCGGGGCCACGCCATCGGCCCAAGCTTGGACCTGGGGAGGTTGATGAGGATTTAGGGTTTGAGATTAAGGGTGTAGCGTGTACAGGGTTTAGGATTCTCGGCGCCGACTCTCCATTGCATTAGTTTCGGGTTGCAGTGAAGTGAAACATACCGCGCCTCCTCGTGGGTCACCAGTGCTGTGTGGCCCTCGACGTAGGCGGACTCCGCTTCCTGCCGGCGTGGGAGGCGCTGTCCTTCCCGGTGCAGCTTCAGAATGAAGTGGGCTCGCACCTCCGAAGGGCTCCGAACTTCATTTCCAACTCAGCTCGGATGGCTGCAGAGCTTTACAGACGATAGCCCGGGCTGTGCACAAGGCGGATGTCCGCGTGGATCAGGAAGTCTGCCAGCCCCTGCTTCTGAGCCAGGTCGTAGCGCTTGGACTGGCGCAGGTGTTGCGTAATGTCGCATGTGATTAGCTTGCACGAATCGCTCGCACCCCTACATCCCGGACGCCCCCGCCTTCTGCGGCTCCTGAGCATCGCCTCCGCAAGGATGCATCCACCACGGACCATCTTTTTTGGAAAGCACACAGCACACGGCAGTTCTCGGCTACCGACGATCGGGAACAACTTCTTGCAAGGTGTCCTGACGACGTTGCTAAGGGACGATGACTTGCAGGCAAACACTCACTCCAAACCCCAGCCTCTTGGGGCTTCGGAGGTGGATCCGAGCGGAGGCAGCGTGCCAATTCCTCACAGTTCAGCAGCCCCTCGCCTCCGCACGGAAGCATCCACCAGAGACGCTCTTTCCGAAAATCGCACACCACGCAGTGGCTCTGGCTCTCACACATGGCTGAGCTCCCGGCGATCGGGGCCGACCTCTTGCAAGATGACCTGTGGCCGAGTTGCTTGGGCACGTGCAGCAGACTCGGCACGCAGTCTCTGCCTGGAGCATACCCACAGTGAAGCGGTCGCCTGACGAGCACCGAGGAGGATCCGTGCATGACATCCTGAACCCTAAACCCCTAAACCCGATCCTAAAACAGCATCCCGGGTAGATGCAGTGCTGCACCAGGCAAGATGGCAGGCGGCGCGGGCCGCAGGGCCGTCTTCATAAGAGAGCTATTATGAAATTTGGAGATATTGCGGAGATATCAGGGTTCAGGGAGCTATTAGGGTTGAGGGTTTAGGGTTTGGGTTTAGGGTAGAAGCACTGATCTGGAGCAATACGAATGCCAGCACATCCCACCGATCTCGACGGAATCCATTTCGAGAGCTAACTGCAACAGCTGAATCGTGACTCGTGTCATGGTGAATTCCACAACGTATGCCCGACTCATAAGTTATTACATGCATTGCTGAGACGAAGACTCTCTGGCCGAACACCGACCGGCCTTTGAGGTTCCTGACGATGATGTGGAGAGCTTTTTTCGAGATCCTCCGTGTGCCCGGGCCACCCTGCCAAGCAGTGGAGAAAACGGGCAAGGACAGGTCATCGTCCCTGCTTCCGGGTTTAGGAAGGATGCTACAAACCGATTGCCAAAAATGTTTCTTCGGATGACTGAGGGCATGGAACTGGTAACATCAGCAACGTCTGCGAGGTCTAGACAGTCCAATGTCGAATTCTGCTCGGCATGATTCAAATTGTGGCAAAATGAACAAGGCAATCCCTGCACCACCAGTATCACCGAGACTGAATTACTACGCAGCACCAGCTGAACCGCTTGAAGACGAGAGCAAAACTTCAGGGTGTTGCCCTTGCTAATCATGCCCTCGGCACCAAATAGATGTCAGCATCCTCGAGGAAGGCTGCCAGCTGGCTCTTGTCAGCCAGGTCGTACTCCTCCTGCGCTACCAAGCCCCGATGCCTCGTTTGACCGCATGCCAAAGGACCCGAGCCTCCCATTTCCGAGAACGTGGATCTGGGCGGGCGCATGAGTCGCTCCTCAAAAAGTCACTGTAGCCTCATATTCGTATAAGGAGACTCGTCTCAAGACTTCCGAGAGGAAGTCTTCTGAGCGCCCAGCTCGCAAATCTCCATCGGCTTCTCGCCATCGCTCGTCGCCCGTTCGTTGGGGACCTGTTGCTTCGGAGCCCTTTAAAGGCCGGCAACGTGCCCGACTATCTCCTTCCGTTTGGCACTTGCCTCGGCAGAGTCACGAAGTCCAGACGTCGTGGAGTTGTCCTGGCAGCAGGACTTTGTACATTGCTTGCCGGCCGCCGAATGGCTTGATCCTGCCTCGGTCGCGGCCTGGCGTGCCTCCGGTGCATCCTCAGGGCCGCCGAATCGCCGACGCTCTTCGTCTGCAGAAGCACTGTCGGTGGCCTGGCAAAGCTTCTACTGGTAGGATGTTAATCTGCAGCCCTTCTACTTTCTGGTGATCTGGCTGTGGGCGTACCAAACACCATCACCCTTGTCTTCGAGTCGTGCTTTCGGCCATGAAAGCAGAATCACTTTGCTGAGCTTACTGGTATGTCAATGTGCTGCAAGGGGGCACAGCTCTGAGCCCAAGAGGTCCGCGAAGGTGGCACCACGTGGATGTCCGACAATGCAGCAGCATCATCCTGCAACATGGCACTAGGACGCAACAGCGCATCCTGGCTGCTTATCAAGGCGTCGTAGACCCAACCGGACCATGGACCATGACCCACACCCAGGCCTGAGCGGGAGCAACGTCGGGAGCTGGTGCACTCGGCACGGCCTCTTCCGTTTGGAAGGCCTGTTGAAGAGTCGAAGCCGCAGGAGGTTTCGGCTGAGGCTGAGGCACACTACGGCATCACTACCGGGCCTTGTCAGCATTGCCTTAAGGCCACAGGGAGGGTTCAGGGTCGAGGGAGGAGCAAGGGTTCACGCATACTTCCCCTTCTGAGTGAATGCCTCCAACCTCTGCTTGATGCCTAGCAACTCCCGACCATCTCCCGCTCTGATGTAGAGGGGCGCACCTTTTCAGGAGGGCACTGAGGCTGACGTGTCCACGATGCTTGGACAATCAAAGTGTGCAACACACACACACACACACACAGAAATGCACACCGGTGTCTAGGCCGTGACAAGATCCCCACTGATACACACTGCAGCGCGAGGTCGTTTTTGCCAGGGAATGGAACTACCAAACTCGGTCTATGACCCCCTTGGGCGATATGAGCGGGCTGGCAATAGCTACGGGACTGTTCAGTCCTTCAAGTGCACGCAGAGAGATTATTATTGTTGTTGTTGTTGATTACTACACGCAGCACCAGATGAACCGCTTGAAGACGAGAGCAAAACTTCAGGGTGTTGCCCTTGCTAATCATGCCCTGGGCACCAAGTAGATGTCATCCTCGAGGAAGGCTGCCAGCTTGCTCTTGTCAGCCAGGTCGTACTCCTCCTGCGCTACCAAGCCCCGATGCCTCGTTTGACCGCATGCCAAAGGACCCGAGCCTCCGATTTCGGAGAACCTGGATCTGGGTGGGCGCATGAGCCGCTCCTCAAAACGTCACTGCAGCCTTGCACATATTCGTATAAGCAGACTCGTCTCAAGACTTCCGAGAGGAAGTCTTCTGGGTGCCCAGCTCGCAAATCTCCATCAGCTTCCCGCCATCGATCGTCACCCCTTCGTCGTGGGCCTGTTGCTTCGGAGCCCTTTAAAGGCCGGCAACGTGCCCGACTATCTCCTTCCGTTTGGCACTTGCCTCGGCAGAGTCACGAAGTCCAGACGTCGTGGGGTTGTCCTGGCAGCAGGACTTTGTAGATTGCATGCCGGCCGCCGCGGCCTGGCGTGCCTCCGGTGCATCCTCAGGGCCGCCGAATCGCCGACGCTCTTCGTCTGCAGAAGCACTGTCGGTGGCCTGGCAAAGCTTCTACTGGTAGGATGTTAATCTGCAGCCCTTCTACTTTCTGGTGATCTGGCTGTGGGCGTACCAACCACCATCACCCTTGTCTTCGAGTCGTGCTTTCGGCCATGAAAGCAGAATCACTTTGCTGAGCTTACTGGTATGTCAATGTGCTGCAAGGGGGCACAGCTCTGAGCCCAAGAGGTCCGCGAAGGTGGCACCACGTGGATGTCCGACAATGCAGCAGCATCATCCTGCAACATGGCACTAGGACGCAACAGCGCATCCTGGCTGCTTATCAAGGCGTCGTAGACCCAACCGGACCATGGACCATGACCCACACCCAGGCCTGAGCGGGAGCAACGTCGGGAGCTGGTGCACTCGGCACGGCCTCTTCCGTTTGGAAGGCCTGTTGAAGAGTCGAAGCCGCAGGAGGTTTCGGCTGAGGCTGAGGCACACTACGGCATCACTACCGGGCCTTGTCAGCATTGCCTTAAGGCCACAGGGAGGGTTCAGGGTCGAGGGAGGAGCAAGGGTTCACGCATACTTCCCCTTCTGAGTGAATGCGTCCAACCTCTGCTTGATGCCTAGCAACTCCCGACCATCTCCCGCTCTGATGTAGAGGGGCGCACCTTTTCAGGAGGGCACTGAGGCTGACGTGTCCACGATGCTTGGACAATCAAAGTGTGCCATCAAAAAATGCTTGGTTCTGATCTTCTCCTACCGTTTAAGAGGGACTCCCTAAACCCTGAACTCCCTAAAACCCTATACAGCCTAAACCAAATGGATCCCGCCCTGGCCTCTGCTCGCTGGCTGCGGCCCGCCTTCCGGGGCAAACAGCGCCCGAAGGCCCGGCCGAGCAGGCCCGGGCCAAAACCGCGCGCGCGAGCGTCCCGGCGCTCGAGGCAGAGGGCCAGCTTCCGGCAGCTCAGCAGGCCCTCGCCTCAGCTCTGGTTTGGGAGAATTGTCGCGAGGTTTGGAGTCGTCCGCCACAACACACTTCAGACACTGAGGCCTGAACAAGACTGCACTAGCTAACTGAGGGTGCTGCTGTCGGGGGGAACTTCTTCCAAAATGCCCTGGGCCCAGACTCAGCAGAACTGCGGAGAAGAGGTAGGCTCAAACAGAAACCCGATTGCTATGTTGATCCGCTCTGGCCTGAAGTTCTTCCTCGGTGATACGATTGCCTTGCGCAGAGCCGTTCTCCACATCCCCTAAACCCTAGAACCCTAAACCCCTAAAACCCCTAAACTCTAAACCTTTCGTCTGAAAGGTGCCACATACTTTTGCCAGCCTCGAAGGCTCTGGACGATGTTCCCGAAAGTTTCCGCAGACACTCTTTCCCGCTCCAGCCGAACCTGGCGTCGGGGAAGTGTGTGGGTTCGGGTGGTCGCTTGTTCTGCATTTCTCCATGCGTCGTCTATTCAACTGCGTGCAAGGTGGCTGTGATAGTCATAGTATAATCTAATAGCTTACTGTACTATTCAATATAGTCTACGTATCACATGCAATGTATCGCTCTGCGTGAGGCCCTGG